TGTGTATGGAGAGGAAGGGGGGTGAGTATGGGAGAGGGGAGAGGAAAAGCGTGATGGTCTTGCCAGGCAGGAGGGTGTCAGCAATGCTGCCTGAGTAGTGGGGGGAGCAGTAGAGTGATCAAACCTATTGAAAAATACATTGAGTTCATTCACCCACTTCCAATCCCCACAATCCTGGGAGTCGGGCTTCTTGTGGCCAGAAATAGCTTTAAGGCTGTTCCAGACTCCGCTGACATTATTCTCCTGCAGCTGGACCTCCATTTTCTTTCTGTAGCTCTCCTTGCCATCTCGGATCTTTCTCCTCAGCTCTCTCTGCACAGCTTTCATCTCCTCTTTGTTTCCTGACCTAAATAAATTTATGGTTTGATTTCTTTGTATGTATGGATCACTTGGGTTGTTACCGACATCTGGTGAAAATTTCATGTCATTAGCGCCTCTAGTAATATATTTACTGAGAAAAATGTTGACGTGTTCAATACTTATTTTACCCGCTGTGTGTGCCGAGAGCCTTTGGTAAGAATTTTTGTAGAGTAAAAACTTTCTTTAAAGGGAAAAAAATAAAGACTGGATTATTCATTTTTATATATACACAACATTACTTTATTAGGTACACCAATTACACAAAAAGCTAATTAGCCAATCACATGGCAGCAACCTAATTCTTTTTGAAATTTAGACATGGTAACTTGACTTCCTTCAAATATCTGAAGAAAAACCCAATAATTACCAGAAGAATCCAAAGATTGCTCTTGTTTATGATGCTGATCCCCATCTGAACAGTATCCAGATGTGAGAATGAGAAAAAAAAGTTTAATTATGTTTGTTTACTTTTTGAAGTCCTTTAGGGTTGAGAGAACTAGGCCAAAAGTGAACTAAACTTGATCTAAAAATAAAAGTTTTGTAAAAGACTAAATCTGGTTTAGATCTGCTTTTAGCCTTGACTGGTTAAAAAAAGGAATTCATGTGAGGATCAAACTCAGGCCTTCACTACAACAAGAATATTAGAAACTACCTCACAGTAAACAACAGCAGGTTTGGTTGAATGAAATTGTATTGGTACAGTATATTAGAAACTTTGCTGCCATATTTAATGACATCCTGTAGCACCCGTACCCATCCATTCATTTAGCTTACTTGAAATTTACCAGCTGTACTTACAATTTTTCCAAAGCAGACAATCCGAAGAAGGACGCATTTCTGAGTTCTTGAATCTTGTTGTTGTTAAGAATTCTGTGGAGAAAGAAACGTGCGTAAATGACACGCAATTTGAGACAAAACTGAACTTTAAAATAGACAACAGCTGTACGTGATGCAAGCTTGCAACGTAATATGATGCAAGCCCGAAGCAGCTGAGGTGGTTTTGTCAAGTTATCATGCATCAAGTCAAATTTAGAATCTGGAAGAAAACCAAAAGTGTCCGTTCAACAAACCAGCCATAGGTTCTAAATTATCAGCCAGGAATGTGCGTTAATTAAATGTGAAGATGGAATCAAAAGGATCGAGTGTCTTTTTTCATTTAGGTGAACGACGCCGCACAGCTACAAGCCGACACATAATAATAGGTCTTACTTCTTTGTAGTCTTGGCTTCCACACTTTTTAGTCAGGGATCTAAAGAAAACCTCAACAAATTAAAAACCTCACACAAGTATGTTGTCCTTTCATGTACAGTATATCAGGCAGTGCCTGAGCTTAAATCAGGTACCCAAACTTTGATTAAGAATAAAGCATCTTTTCCAAGTTAATTTGCAGTAAAACTGAGTGGTTGATGGCACACATAAAGCCCTATATGTGGAAAATCCGGACGTAATTGCGGAATTTACTTAAAATAAAATCCTGTATAAAATTAAGAATTGTACAGAATTTGCACAAAACTTTACATTTTTTAAAAATGTTCTTTTTTAATATGAGGTGTGAGATTCTATGATTTACACATAAAAAATGTTTTTTTTCTATAAAGAGAGACAGGTAAAAACATTTAAATACCTTGCAAAAGCATTTGATGTTCTGTTGAATCACAGCGACTTGTTATATTTGTGAAAGTGACATAACAGCCATTAAATTTCAATTATGTGACTATAAGTG